GGAAGAACCTCAATGCATTTAGGCATGTAGACATCGTTACAACAACCTGCTGAAGTTTAAACTGAGAATGAGTATGAGGAAGAAAGGTGGTTTGAGTGATACTGAATGTGGCATGGCTATTGGTGCCAGATTTGAGTATTTGACAAACTGCTGATCTACTGGGATTTTCCCACACATTCATCTCGGCGGTTCAAAACAATATCTGAAAAGTAGAAAATATCCAGTGAGCAGCAGTTCCCTGAGTAAAAATACCTCGTTGATGCCAGAGATAAGGAGACAATAGCCAAACTGTTTTGAGCTAATTGGAAGGCAACCGTAACTCAAACAACCACTTTTTACAGTCAAGGTATGCAGAAGAGGCTCTCTGAAAGCCAGAGGTGGGAAGTAAAGAAGTACAAATACTTTGTTGTGGCACTTAAGTAGAATATTGTACTGTAATTTACTTGAATATTGTTTTCCTGACTATTTTTTACTTTTACTCTCTAAACAAATATCTGTACTTTCTACATTTTCAAAACAGGCTTGTTACTTTTGGTTTAACCCACAGGCCTTCAAACATTAAACCGATTTAAGTCTGAACAGTAACACATGAAAGGCAGTCCTGTTCGTGTTTTAATCACCAGAGGATGTCATATTTAAAAAAAAGAGATCAATGAGGCACAAGCCTTTGCTAAAGTCAGGGGTTAAAGTGGTTCGTGTTGTCTTTTTTCTTTTTCTTATTTTACTTCAGCATCTCGCTGAAGAGAAGAGAGAAGGGAGGGAGAGGGAGAGAAAAGAAAGACGCTAACTTCACTCAGAGATGGAGAAAGATAAGAAAGACAGGACAGGAGGAAATGAGGTTAGATTTAAAGGTAAGGACTACTCAGTGGTGTCTGATACACTGGAAATGGAAGTTCTCATGCTTTTAAATCAAATATTAGGTCGGTTTATGTGACATTTTGGCAAACTGAGGTAGATTAACTGTTTTATTTAAAGGTTGCATGAAAAATACTCACATACTTTGCTGTGTTGTAATGGATTTAAAGTAAACATCAGTGTGTGTGACTGTTACGCAATGGCTGTCTAGTATAAGACAGCATAAACAGGTGAACTCATGAAACATCTGCTTACACCTTGTTAAATTCAGATGTATAAATCTGTAAAGAAGAGCAGCTGATACACAACTGATACATTAAGAGCTCTCAATAGAAATCATTGTTAGTTCTTTTCCTCAGGCTGAGCCATTAAAACTGGTTTTAGAGTTCCCCCACCCACCGAATCCCACTGTAACCCCTGACTGTACACATTTTCCTGTTTAGTGGCAAAGAAAATAGAGCTTCGTTTTTTTTAAATTGTCCTACTTTTTCTCTGCTTACTCAGGTTGAATCATTTAGTAGAATGATTCAACCTGAGTAATTTTTTTTATTATTCCCATCTACTGATACTATTTTATTATTACATTAATACATTAATATATCACAAGGCTCAGTTAGCTTTGCACAACAATAGCTAGTAGACATGTCCTCCAAAAAGCTGCTTTTAACTTTCTTTGGGTACATTTCAGAGACTGTACTTTTTCACTTTTACTTGAGTACTTTTCAACACTAGTATCTTTACTCTTACTTAAGTACAGAATGGCTAAAAAATAAGAGTTTGAGGCAACAGTTTATGTTCTTAAAACGGACAATGAAAGATCAAAAAACATTGCCTGATATGATGAGTGTTAAAACTTTTGTTCTTACATTCAAATTCAGGTGGTAGGGTTTTGGCCTAAGCTTGAATACGTCCTGCTTTGCATCAACAATTTAGCCTGCTGGTGGGGTAATGTGTGGCACACATATTGTGCCCCATTACACCAAATGAGCATTGTTTAAATTGTCACAGCCTACCTGAGTATTGTTCTCCTCCCTTTATGACCACAGTGTGGCTACCTTCTGACAGCTGCTTCCAGCAGGAAAGTTCACCATGTCTCAAGGCTCAAACTGGTTTCTTGAACATGACAATGATTTCATTGTACTCAAATGGCCTCCACAGTCACCAGATCTCAGTCCAATACAGCACCTTTGGGATGTGGTGTAACAGGAGATTCTTATCATTGATGTGCAGCTGGAAAAACTGTGTGATGTTATAATGTAAATATGGACCAAAATCTCTGAGGAATGTTTCTTTGTTGAATCTGTGCATGTAGACTTAAGACAGTTCTGAAAGAGACAGGGGGCTCAACTTGGTACTAGCAAGTTTTACCTAATGAAGTGGTCAGTGAGGCAGAAAATCAGTAATCAGAGGGCAGAGCTTACAGTCCTAGCAGTCCATACAAATGAAAGACAATGAGCGTTTGAGATTGTAAATAAAAATGCCTGTGGGGAAGTTAACACCTATCAGAAGATAAACTATGGGTGTTTAGGTCTATATAAACAACTATGACCCACATTCACGTGGGTCATAGTTATACAATTTTAGTTTAGTCATTTAAAAGATTGCTCATTACTCAGTGTGTTAAAATGGTTTCTTTTATTCGCAGTGGTGCTGCTGTTACTCAGGGTTTTAAAGAAGTAGCACATTCTGCTCCGAAGTTTCATGCCAAACCTGAGCAGGGCCCCTTGCAATTTCCTGCCCATAACAATAGTGCGAACAAAGAGCGAAGGGTCATGACTGGAAGTCGCAGAGGCTTCAGCTCTTTAGACCTGGACTGCCTTGGCCCAGCAGGGACACACGCTGGAAAGCTGCCCACAACTTTAACTTGTCCAAAGAGAGAGGATGCCCAAAGCGTGGGAATTTCACTTATCATATTTTTTCAAAGAATTCCTGGCCTGTGATGAACGTAGTTGTAACAGGATGCGTGTGTTTAGACAATTTAACCTTTTGACTTCACACTGACTGACACAGAAAAGTGGGTGTAGACACGATTCTTGCGCCTATTTGTTTTTGTAATCATTGCTCAACCACTTTCAAAAACGTAAAACTCTCATCTGAGAAACATCCAGTCTTGCCAAATAAACGCTAAAACATTCCCATACAAGTGTGATGAAACAGTGACACAATTACAGCGGCTTAGAATAAAGAAACATCTTTAATATTTGTTTAGCTTGGTACCAATAGCGAAACAATGGTCCAGTGTTTGAGGTTTTTGAGAAGCAGACATAATAAGGCCATGACCTAAGCCTTAAACAACACATTACTAATACTCCAGATAACGTCTGTGACCTCTCCTCCTCATTAGACGTCATATAGGAATGCCGTGAAGCAAGAAAAACGGTATGTAAAACTTGAGAAGAGATATGATGCAGCACAGGAGATGAGACACAATCAGACCATTATAACACAACACTACTCAGTAGATAACAGACACACCAAACATCTGTGTGATTTTACACAAAAATATGACTTCTTAGCAGATTTCTTAAATTACATGGAAAATTTACATGTAATCCTGTTATTTAAATTTTGGGCATGAATATTTCTTGAGTTCGGTGGCCTGAGGTATTTTCAGTGTCTGAAACAGCAGAAAATGTTTCACAAACTCACCATGCACCTTTCGTAATGCTGATTTTACAAGTCACCAACAGTTACAGCTGTGACATAAATAGAATCAACAATAGAGTATCTCCATCTGAAATCTATTTTTGCTGTAATGTTATCACTTGTATGGGGAAATGGTGCCTTAGCCTAAGATCAAATCTCGGCAGTCCCCACTTCGCTACAAGCTCAAACATTGTTTTGTGGGAGAAAATAGCCTACTTCCTGCTATCATGCTGAGGTGAGAATTATGTTCCCGTACAAAGCCTCAAAAACAGGTGGGATCCACCTAGTGGCGAAAAGGTGTTTTTTTCCCCCCCCTGGACTGAAAAGCTCTTTGAATGTTTCATCAGTTTCTTCCATGTGGTCTTTTATGTGGCTTGCACCCACCCCCAGGAGGATGGTGTGTTAGTAAACCTCAAGTAAAAACATTACTTACACTGTAAAAATTAAGATGGAAAACCTGCAGCAGTGCCAGAATTTGACATTCTCAGGCATAAAATGTTTCTCGCAAACTTTTTCTCTTCTCCGTGTCAGATATTTACTTGCCTACAAAGGCACAGAGGCCTCAAGTATGCAAGATGTTTCATGAACTATTTGGAAAGCAGGCTGATAAATAAACAGAGCTGTACATTCACAGATCCAACCACACACACACACACACACACACACACACTGAAAAGAACATGTTTCTCATCCTCTGTTTTGGGTCTGTAGGAGCTCTGAGCCATGGCAACCGAATACCGAGGGGAGAAAAATTTGCCTGGCTGAGCTCCATCCTTCTGGCAGTCATGCTAAAACTCATGAATAGCATGACAAAAACAACATTCCTCACTGAAGTGATATAGTCCTGAAGGAATTCCTGTTAAATCGAGGCATTTCTCGGCGTGCATACCTCATTGTATTGAAACCATGTGGCGTAACGTGTGAATGTAAATTCAACTGCAGATCCAAAGCAGTGAGAGAAAATGACTTTGGGCACATGCAGACATTTACATTGTCTGTTTTTCTTTGTGTTTCACCACTGTGCATGTGTGCATGTGGGTATTAATTTACTATAACACACTTTCTTCTTGTATAAGCACATCTGTCTGTGATTTGCAGGGAAAAATAAGGTGCGGAGACTTGAAATTATCATACTATTGTCTAGTTTCCCTGTGTGTATAAACACATTAAAGTACAGCACCTGCGGTTCTTTAGAGCCAAAATGCACACACTTGTGTGTATGCAGATACGTATGTGCGTATGACGAGTCTGACAAACAGTTGTTAGGGTCAATCTGTATGAGCAGAGATATCAGTGGCCCATTGCCATGTCTCCCACGCAAGTGCTGAGTCGTGAGGTTAGTATGCAGGGAAAATAAGACTGAGAACTAAAAGATTAAAGAGTAGGCAAAGCATTACAGAAAGGCTGGTATTGGTATTTAACTATGTAACTACATTTATTTTATCAGTTAAGACCAAGAGTAGCTAATGCAAGAGCAGCATTACAAGCTAATTTTGCAGCTGTAACTTGTCACAGGTCCAATGTTAAATCAGGAGTTTCAGGCCAGTGGTTTTATTGCACAGTGCATATTTTCCATCAATAATCACAATAAAGCAGTATGTCATCAGAGAAGTGCTGGTTGCACTGAAATCCATGGAAACTTGGAGGCAAATGGGTGCATACACACAGCACTGAGGTCAGTGAGCTTGGCTTGGGTTATATACACTCAATGACCACTTTATTAAGTGCATTTGATTAGGCAGTATTTGGCTGGACCCGTTTTGTTTTTTTTTCCTCAGAACTGTTTTAATTCTCAATGGCACAAATTTAGCAACCTGCTGGAAACATTCCTTTGAGATTCTGGTCCATACTGACTTGATAGTATCACATAGTTGGTGCAGATTCGTGGGCTAAACATCCATGATGTCTCAAAGAGGATCTATTGAATTGAGATCTGGTGCCTGTGGAAGCCATTTGAGTACACTGAGAGGATTGTCATGTTCAAGAAACCAGTTTGAGGTGATTTGAGCTTTGTGACATGTGTTATCTTCCTGGAAGCAGTCATAGAAGATGGGTATGCTGCAACTAAGCCAACAGCAATACTCAGGTAGGCTGTGATGTTTAAACAAGGTTCAACTGTTCATAAGGGACCCAGTGTGTGCAAACGATGTCCCCCAAGCCATTTCACCACCACCACCAGCAGCCTGAACTGTTACATGGCAGGCATACAAGGCAAGAGGGATGCATGCTTTATTGTGGTTTACCCCAAATTGTGACTTTATCCTCTAAATGTTGCAGCAGAATTCGAGACTCATACGATGAGGCAATGTTATTCCAATCTTTTGTTCAATTTTGGTGAACCTGTGAATATTGTAGTCTCAGTTTTCTGTTCACAGCTGACAGAAGTGGCACCTGGTTTGGTCTGCTGCTGTAGACCATCTGCTTCAAGGTTCACCGTGTTGTACATTCAGATCTTCTACATACATGATTAGGGTTCAACTATCCATTTCTATACATTTCATATTATGATTTATTCTCACATAACCTTTCATATTTTTTTGGGTGGAAAACATGACGAAAACGTGTATGAAACATTCAATCAAAAGTCACCGAATTGTTTTAACAAGCAGTGAGAAAGAAGCAAATAATCATCACCCATATTTAGTGAGCTCATTTTAATCAGCTACACACTGATTTCATCATTGCTGATTTACAGTGTTGCATTCCTGGTTCTCTGTCACTGGTAGCATCCCTGAGAGCCTGGAAGAGGACGAGACATGTTATGGAAAGCCCACTGTAAGATGCCATCAATGGAGCTCTGCTGCAGTGAAGAGAAGAAAACACAATAGGATTAACTGCTGAACACCTATTTGTCTATTTGTCATAGATTTAGTAACATATTAGGTAAATATAAATCCTTTAATCAATCAATCTGCCATCTATAATGCAAACCTTCTTAGAGTTCACTGTAACTCGAAAATTTAGCTTCTGAATTGTAAATTATTTAAATAGTCAGCAGGTAGGGGCTAAAAACAGAGGCACCCAAATCAAGACTGTGAGCCCAGTGAAGCCAAGAAGAACTCACACATCTGTACACATCTGTAAAACATCTGTACACATATTTCAGGCCCAAAATCACAGCTAACAACATCAGGACAAGCTGCTCCAAATCGCCTAATGTTTTGTCCTCGGTGCTTTTTGTTTACCCCGACAGCTCACTGACTGTCTCTGTGATAAGGAAACAGTCATCTTGTGTCTGACGTGAACTGTTGCACTCTGCCTGCATCTGTGATATCGACATGTAACTGATCTCCACTCACGTCTCCCAGGATGGAGTCCAGTTCATCTTTATGGTGGATGGGCTCAGAGAGGGAGGCGCTTTGATCATGACTAAGTGTGTTTTGAGCCAGAGGTGCAAGCTGAAGACAAACACACACAGACACACACACAGGAGAGATTACATAGAGTATTTGGTGGTATTAAGATAATAAAGGTTGTAAATTCTTTTTCAAGGTGTGTACATGTGGAGACACACCTGCCCGCCTCTGGATTCAGCCTCTCTCTCAGCAGAGCTGCCCCACAGTCTGGAGCAGGACAGGCAGATGGACCTCCCTCTTAGAAACACACAAATGCTTTGAGTGAACATTTCCGTATAAGGTTTCTCTCAATCAATATGTCATTTCTGACACAGGAAGCTGTTCAAACCCTTCCAGCTGGGAAAATAAACTGTTTACATGAAACTTGGGGCCCTAATTAATTAAAAAAGGGAAGCTTTTTCTTCTTATTGCTTGGTTTTAGTTAATACTGTGTTTTTAATCAACATAAAAAGGAGGCACGAGAGCTTATCACATGGATTCGGCTTTAATTTGTTGTATCTGTGTTATCGTTGTGTAAAATCATTGTGAACCTCGCTCACATTGCTCACTACTCAGCTGCAAGGGCTCCACTTACAATCCATTAGCCACCATTATCCCAAGAGAGATTATTGAAAGCGCACACCCTTAATGCACACTGGTGGTCAATACCAACATACAGGAAGTTCTCAGAGAGCCCCGAATGTTTTTTTTTCTTCTAATGTAGATGATGCTGAGATTAGGATTTCAGGAGCTCAGGGGAAACGCTCTCTGTCATCTCCTAAAAATCTTTCTTCTACAGTCAGAAGAAGAAATTAGTGGTTTTCTTACTTGGAAAAGTGGCAGTTTACATGGAAATGCTTCAGACACTGAAAGCAGTGGTTCAAATCTCCTCCTCCGAGGTGGCAAATACCGCACACCTCCCTCACGCCAACCAGCTCTCCACCCGAGCACTGGAGACAAATTTATACATGCATCAAGTGTGACTATTTTTACATGTTGCAGAGGCGTAAAAAGGATGAGGCTGATGGAAGCTGAACTGATTAAAAAAAATGGGTGAATGATGAAGAAGGTCACCTGGTTTCTGCCACCTGATGCACTCATCGTCGCCGTAACGCTTGTGAGGGAGGATGACAGCGATGAGTAGAATGAGACATCGGTGATGGAGTTACTGCAGTTTGTGTTTGTTTGCTGAGGATGAGCTGAGAGAGCCTGAATGCAAATATTTAGACTATGATCAGTTCTAGAAAAAGCATCAGTGTTTACCAAAGCCCTTAAAACTTTTTTTTGTAAATAAGTCTTCAAGTTTTACTGTGACTTATTATCCTGAACTACGTAAATACAAATTACTAAAGTTGGAAATACCAGACAGGGTGTGAGAGCCATGAGTTTTCTTTTACACATGAAACGTACTGAAAATATAAGTTGCTATGAGCAGAAAGATTCTCACATTTAAAAATGACCACACAGTACTAGTCAGTACTAGGGGTGACTCAGGGGCTTGGGCCGCTGCTCACTTCTTTATGTTTTTCTCACAAGACTCCCAGACTTTCTAGGAATTTTTGGTGGTCTTGAGCAATAGCTCTCCAGGCTTTCCGAAGGTCTTTTAAAGTTTTCTTCAGCTGCTTTTTGTTTACTCATTTTCAGTCTAGTCACATAATTTGTTCATTTCTTTTGCTGAATCTATGAAAAATGCTGAAGATAGCACATTTTTGCACCAACAAGATGATTCCCCAAAAGCTACTAGCCAAAAACCAGGCATATCTCAGCATGGTGCGCAGTGTGTCCTTAAAAAGAAATCAACAAGTGGAGGACAAAAGAAAAAATGTCAGGCCCAAAAAACTATCTGCAGCTGATGCAAATGGTTTCAGTGGCTGTCAAGAAGCAGTTCTTAAGGAAGGGAAAAAGAGAGGTATGCTAAATAATTTTTTTTTTAAATGACAGAAAGCCAGAGACCACGGGTGTCCTGGAGTGATCCAAATCTAAAACGTCTGGTTCACATCATGTACAGAGGAGGTCAGGATAGAGGTACAACAATGTGTCTATAGCCATCTGTAAAACACAGTGGAAGCTCTGTCGTGGTTTGGTGCTGCATTTCAGCTAGTGGTGTTGGGAATCTTGTCAAAAATGTTGAAATCTTGAATGCAGAAAGGTAGCAACAGATTTTGATCCAATATGCAGTGCCATCTGGAAAGTGTCTGATCGAGAAAAGGATAATATTTCATCATCACAATGATCCCAAACACATTGCCAATGCAGTGAATGCACACCTGGATTGAAAAAACACACAATGCAACATTATCAGTCATGGATTAGCCAGACCAGAGCCCGGACCTCAGTATTGCTGAAGCACTGTGGGATCATCTTGACAGAGAACAGAACAAATGGCAGCTAAAATCAGAAGAAAAAAAACCTTCAAGAAGAACTTTTGGAGAACTATTCCTGAAGACTACTTAAAGAAAATACCAGAAGGCTGGCTAAGAGAGTTCAGACTGTGTTGAAGAATAAAGGTGGTCATACCAAATATCGACTGCATTACTGCATTTCTATGTGTGTTTGCTCATGTTTTAACAAATTGCTGAAACCATTCCCCATTTTCCTAGCAAAATATAAAGAAATGAGGGTCGTTGAAGACTTTTTCACAGTACTGTAGGTTATTCAGTGGATTCAGTATGTGCACATTTCCTGCTTCCTTCCTTCAGGAACTTACTTGTAAGGGTAGCTGTGCTTTCTCTTTTTTCACCCTGTGTCCACGGCACCACTCACACTGCCAAGAGCCACTGCAGATAATGTAAAGTTATAACCTCTTTCTCAAAGCAAAAAAAAACATCTCGGCACACCGGCACATTATTCTTCACCTTGGTATGGACGAGAGTGGAGGGTCAAGGCAGGCCAGATGAAAAGCTCGAGGGCAACCGTCACAGCAGATCAGCTCCCCTCCATCCTTACACACTGTACACTCATCATCATTGTAATGAATCTAAACACAGGCCGATGAATGTAACATAGATAAGCAGGCACCCACATTCATATAAAGCACAAGCAACTTTAGTTAAGAGTGAGGGGATTACAGCGTCTACCATGCGTGTGGCTGTCTCCACCTGGTGGTGAAATGTGCTCTTAGCAGACTTGGACTTTGATGCATTTGTCTCCTCTGACGGACCCCCACCAGCTTTAATGGGCTCTCTGGTGGCCCCTGTTAAATGACAGTGGGTTTTAAAGGGGAAAATCTTGCATAAAGGTTAAAGCTTAGTTAGGTCTGTGTTTTCACATTCATAGTTTGATGTTGCTTCAGTTTTCTGAAAAAAAGAAGTTCACATATTCATTATATGACTTACCTTCCAAACAATATGCCTGCATAACATGCACCTTTTCTTGGTTATCATGGTTGACTGGGGGATCCGTGGAGGGAGCCGAGAAGGAGGAGGATGAAGAGGGCAGGTGGACTCCTCTCTGGATTGTGGAAGACAGTACTTGCACACCTGAAGCAGAAAATGGGTTTGGTTATGTATTCGTGGTATAAAAGTATTTAATATATTTATTTTTATGATAATTACTGTTTTCAGATGGCAGCTTGGAGCCAGGAGCTTCACTCTTCACTCTGTAGAGCTTCACTTTACTTCCTTAAACAGAGTAGATAAGACCTTATAATGAAGACAGCACAGTCATGTGCGTTTTAGAGTATTCCAGGTTAATTCTTTGTGAAGCCTATGTATCTTTTGATTGCCAAAATAAGCCTATTATGCTTTGCTTATTTTTTTGTCACATATACTTTAAAAATAGTGGATACTTATTTTAAACATGCTCCAAACACTCTTCAGAGAGTTTTTGCTACTCTTGGAAGAAGGGATATCCTACCAACAACTCTGGGGCTGAGCACAGAAGCCCCACCCACCTGTAGTTCAAGACTTCTGGAGGCGGCCAATTAGAAGATGATTAGGGTCAATAAGGATTATTTGAGCTAATTAGAAAAGATTTGTGACTATAGTTAAGGGTAGCATGCAGAGAGTAAGGTGGAGGCAGAAGACCCCTAAAGGGAGCAGCTGATTAAATGAATCACGGAAAATGATTCTAATCCAAGAATAGAAAAATGGGATGGACGTAACAGGTCCTATTTTATCTTGTAAAAATGTGGTCTGCAGTGTCTGATGGTAAATGGCCTGTATTTGTATAGCATTTTGCTAGTCCCTAAGGACCCCAAAGGGCTTTACACGTTCAGTCATCCACCCATACAAGCTACATTGTAGCCACAGCCACCCTGGGGCGCACTGACAGAGGCGAGGCTGCTGGACACTGGCGCCACCAGGCCCTCTGACCACCACCGGTAGGCGACGGGTGAAGTGTCTTGCCCAAGGACACAACGATCGAGACTGTCCAAGCCGGGGATCAAACCAGCAACCTTCAGATTACAAGGCAAACTCCCAACTCTTGAGCCACAATCGCCCCTGACAGAGAACAGATACAAAGCAAGTGCAGTATGGGAGATGACCTCCTCCATCGGTTGTCTTGGCATGATACTGTGACCGCTGGGAGCTCGGTTCTCGATCCGCATGGCTCCTCTTCTTACTGTGAGGAGGTTTGTGACCTCCAGATGGTCTGTTTTCATGTTTGGAACCTGCAGTCTCCCTTCCTGTCAAACAAAATCAGCAACAATGTAAACCATTAGAATCTAAATGTGACAGAAAATTGTCCCGAGAGACTGTTTTCAGCTCTGGTGCAACAGATGCAACTGAGGTTTTATTGCTTTTGTAAATTAATAAGAAAAAATAGAAGAAAAACTGAGGAATGTCTGTTTGTGCTGAATGTTATTTGACACTGGTACTGTACATCATCTTTATTGACTCTAAATAAACAGATAAAAAATCTAAACAAGAATAGTGAGCACTAGAAACTATTTATTTATATTTCTCTAATTCACATGGGTTCAAAAGTATACCTACAGACCAAAATACATACATATACTCACCTATTAACTGGTTGACTACCGCCACTAGTTCTCTTTGCCGTTTAAAAAGGATTTGTTTGACAGCACTCATTGTGTTGGCAATAAGACTGGAAAGTCCAAGGAACTCAGTGAAAATCTAATAAGGAGACTATTAGATTTACACAAGTTGTCTTTTGCAGCCATTTTTAAACAGCTGCAGATTCCAAGATAAATTCAGACAATTGTACATAGGGACAAGTTATTCAGGTGTGACCACTTTACTAAGGTCTGGCAAAAGACAAGACAAAGATTGAGCTACTTGGCCATAGTGACAAGAGGTATGTTTGGAGGAGTAAAGGTGAGGCTTTCAAACCTAAGAACACTGTACTAACTATCAAGCGTGGTGGTGGCATCATGTTCTGGGGCTGTTTTGCTGCCAGTGGTAATGACAGATTTCAAGAGTGGATGGAATAATAAAGAGGAGGACTACATCCAAATTCTTTGACTTCACCTCAAATTGGTACGGAGCCCCCCAGGGGACATGGGAGAAAAAAAAATTGGGGAGGAAAAAAAAAAAATTAGGGAGGAAAAAAAAAATTAAGACGGACTTTTGCGAGATCTCGCAAAAGTATTGCGAGCGCTCGCAAAAGTATTGCGAGATCTCGCAAAAGTATTGCGAGATCTCGCAATAAGTATTGCGAGCGCTCGCAAAAGTATTGCGAGATCTCGCAAAACTCCAACAATGGCGGCAGCTACTTAGTTGTAATATTACTCTTTCTGGGTCACAAAATACACTTTTAAGATATTTTGAGGCGTGAATGTAGTTGTGTAAACGTCAGATACCTGCTCGGTTTACAAGACATCACATATTTGCAAAAGAGCTCCGAGGTTTTTGGAGATCTGACACCCACTAGCTCGAAGCTAACGGGAGGTCGAGACCTACTACAGCCGGGAGGAACACCGCTTTCCCGGCACATCGTGCCTCGACCTCCCGGTCGGCTTCGAGCTGGCGGCCACTAGCTCGAAGCTAACGGGAAGTCGAGACCTACTACAGCCGGGAGGAACACCGCTTTCCCGGCACATCGTGCCTCGACCTCCCGGTCGGCTTCGAGCTGGCGGCCTCCGAAGAATGCGGCTAAAACTTTTGCGAGATCTCGCAATACTTTTGCGAGGCTCGCAATACTTATTGCGAGATCTCGCAATACTTTTGCGAGTCTCGCAAAAGTATTGCGACGCTCGCAATAAGTATTGCGAGCGCTCGCAAAAGTATTGCGAGATCTCGCAAAAGTTTTAGCCGCATTCTTCGGAGGCCGCCAGCTCGAAGCCGACCGGGAGGTCGAGGCACGATGTGCCGGGAAAGCGGTGTTCCTCCCGGCTGTAGTAGGTCTCGACCTCCCGTTAGCTTCGAGCTAGTGGGTGTCAGATCTCCAAAAGTCCGTCTTATTTTTTTTTTTCCTCCCTAATTTTTTTTTTTTCCTCCCTAATTTTTTTTTTTTCCTCCCTAATTTTTTTTTCTCCCATGTCCCCTGGGGGGCTCCGTAAATTGGGAATTAGATTGTTGAAACTTGGACGTAATTAAATTTTCCAAACACACACACAGACACTCACTCACACACAAAATGGTTTTAGCATAGATAAAAACAAGCTAACATTAAGATACTGACCTTCCAAAATTCCCAATAAATTTGTGGGCTAAGCTTAAAAGCCACCATGCCAGGAAACCAGCCAATTTTAATAAAATCTTCCAAATTTGCCAAGAGCACCATTCAAACATCCCATCAGAATTATGCCAGATGGCTTCCAAAAGCATCTGGTCGAGGTGCATCTTGCTGAGGGGCACTTAACCAAATATTAATTGGGGTGTACGGATCCATATATTTGAGCCTGTGTGAATCTAACATAAAGTAAAACTTGTGCACTCAATTCTTGTTATTTTGAAGTCACAATAGATGTATGTACAATCATTCCACCGTGGGAGAACAATAGTTTATTCCTTAATAGGAATCATGAACTTATCGTGTCAATCACCATGACAAAATGATTATGACATTCATGCCTATAACAAGTGTATAGATGTAGATTTATTTGTGTGTGACAAATGTTTTGTCGTAAACTGTGTGTCACATACGGGAATCCAGGTTAGTGAGCAGGGTCTGCAGCCTGGGGTAGCTGTCCAGATTATAGTCTTTGGATAAGTTGTTCAAGAAGGCCTGGACAGTGGATCTGCTCTGCTCCAACACCCAGGACAGGAGGGAGTACATGGCCTTGTGGATGCCTTCTCTAGCCTCTTTCTCCAGAGTCTCCTATAGACACATTAAGTTTATGAGTTTGAAGACTGAAAGTTCAGCACTGATATCCTTTAATGGAAGCAGCCCGATACTTGCTTAAAGTAGCATAAAAAAATTATTTCAAATCAAAATTAAGGTTTACACAATTAATACGGATATCCAATCTCTGTTCAGTTTCTTACCTTCAGCAGCTGCTCTGTGATGATGTTTTTGTCCGCCAAACCATAGACCAGGGGGAAAGGGTCATCCACAGCCATAGCGATGTCAGTTCGCAGCTCCCTCAGCAGCGAGCGGAGGTTTGTGTCCCTAAACGCCTCGACTCTTGACATGATCTTCCTTTGTGTGCAAGTGAGAAATGACTTGACACGGTCTGAGACCACAGATGAAGAATTTCAGATGTGGGGGGTGTGTCCCTCACAGGGAAGGTGCACTGCTTCATGCTGACTGCATACAAGCATAAGCCATATCTTAAAAACTCCTGTATTTTTTTTCATCCTGTGTTTGTGCTTTTAATAACGCATCTATGACTCTATGAAAAAAAATGAAGCTACCAGCCTTTCATTTCTGAGACTTCCCTCCAGGGAGGCCAGCCCTGGACCTTTTGTCTCTTTTGAGTTCATTTGTCCACTAACAGCACTAACGGCCTTCATCCAGGGGAATACCTGTCCTCTTACATCAGGAGAGCAGAGTGAAGTGACCTGATGTGCGACAGTTTTCTTCTTAAAAGGTTCTTTCCACCTCAACTTCCCCTCACCTGTCAGGTTTTCACACACTGACTCACCACAGGGAACTCCGCATTAGTGTGATAATTATGACTTCGCCACAGACAGGAGAACATTAACACTGTAAACAGTTTAATGACTGACAGACTGATTGCATGACCGGTAGCCTACTATGCTTTATGCAGTTGTTATTCTGTTAGTTTGTTCCTCCAATTCTCATTATTCTACTAAAAAGGCCTAAACAAAGAGGAAGCGGTCTCTCCTCCAAATACACAAGAGAATGGTAAAATAAAACTCATCTAAGGTTAAGGCTTCGGGCTTGTCATTTACTAGAGAGCATTTGCCTGCAGTTTCCACTAATTCAATTTCATGTCATGTAAATATCCATTAGGTCTAAATGCTAGAGTATCCAATTACTTTAACTCATAAATAAGGTTAGGAAACAACTGGGTAGCTTGAGAAATATGCTCACTAAGTCCCTTAGTTCACTGCAAAGCCAAAGCCAGAAGATGGCCAACTAAGTTAAGCATTAAAAAAAGCTACTGCTTTAGTAGCCAAAAAAATCATCTGTGGTTTGTGTGCCAAACCATATGAGATGGAAACGGTCATCCAAAAATGTGACAAGGTCAGTATAAAATCTCCCGCAGCGAAGAATTCAAGTCTTAGATTCTTTAAAAGTTTGTTTGTAAATGAGATACAGAGACCTGAGGCCTGTATTATGAAGCAGGGTTTAATCTTATCTGGGTGACTTCAGGATTAACCCTGAGTTTACAGTACTGTGAAGGTGGATCATTTCTTACCAGGATATATGGTAATGGGTAAAGTGACTTATAATTAATATGATATGCTACCTGTAGTTTCAGGTTAGAGATCAACTAGTACCTAATAGCTGCTTTTAAACATTGATTTAATGTAATACTTTTTATAATCCATCAGGTTCTCCCATGTCTTAATGATTGAGCTGCTAATATTGATGAATCTGTTAACTTACACAATCTGCATTTTCACCGGCTCTCATTCCTGGAAAAACTTTATTAATATTGCTGCTCTTTTCCAGTCTTACAGACTAAAGCACTTAATCCACATACTGTTAATATGATATTACTCTGGGTTTTTTTTACTCTCATACACACTGCTGTGTTGCTTTCAGACTTCATATTTTCTCATCTGTTTCATCTTCCTTTGAAAAACCATCTTCATTGATTGCCAATGTTAGGCTAAGTGATTCCAGATAATGGAGAGACACCCTGAGTATGGTGAGCTAATGCGTAATACAGGCATCTGGAAGGGTCTGAGATTATACTGGTCCAGTCTCTTATTCTCAGAGACTACTTTTGTTCATTTTCATTTCATAGTTGTGAGGAAGTTATGAATGTTTTCATGTTTTAGGAATAGTCCATAGTTTGTCTCTTTTCCAACCAGTTAGCTAATTAAGCTAAACTGTAGCTAAAATGTCAATTGAGGTTTCCTATGAGGTAAAGCAAATATAATTTCAATTTATGTCACCAGGCAATGTCACAAAAGGGTACTCATAAAAAACAACAAACTGGTGAGGCTACACTATTTAGTGTTTTTTACTTGATTGTTAATGTTGAGAGTTAGATAACAGCTAAATTGGCTAGCTACCAGTTAACAACTGATATCTGCATAAGACACATGAAGTGCTCATTAGATTTTCATATTTAGTCATTAAAACCACAAAAACCTGGTACACAACATAACTAAACACTAAATATTGTAAGTAAATGCTGCATACCTAAGGTCCAATTGTGTTCATAGCTTAAACTTAGATGCTATCAGTGTCTTAGCGCAGCGGTCCCCAACCCCCAGGCCTCGGACCGGTCCTTGAGTCGTTTGGTACCGGCCCGCGAGAGTTGAGGCTCAGGTGTGAAATGTATGGTTTTCAGGGTTTTTATCGGTTTTCAGCGTTATTTTGTTATCGTTTTTATCGTTAACTCGGTTTTCCTGGGTCTTTTCACATGTGTTATGAATAAATCTTTCTATTTAATGTAACTAGTGTAGTGGTTTAAACCTGCTTGTGCAAACTCCCAACAACTTGCCATATCTCACATTTTCTCAGAAAAAAACAGAAAGTAAATAAAATAGAAGAGTAGATAATTGTGCTACCAGGTAAATGTTGATGGTTAGGAGAGTGAAGCCCTTTAATTTGTAATTTATTAATCATTAAACATTATTACATTTTTCATACTGGTGAACAAGGACCACTTCTACAGAGGGACGTTCACAACATACATATTACATTATTATATACAGTGCGGTGCATTACAGTGGATTGTTATATGTGTATTACCGGGATGGAGGGATGGGGAGACTGGAAGGACAGAAGGATAGCGGGAGGAGAGAAGGAAGAGGAGAGGACTTTTAGGAGGGTTAAGGAGTTGTGATAGTAAGTTGTCTCTTTATTACTTCTTTTTTAACCACAGTACAGCTTGTTCTATAAAAGTTAAACCCATAGAGAGATAGAGTGCCACATTTTCACAGCTACTGTTAGGTGATCCTACTGGAAGTTGTGGGAATATCAAATGAGATACGTCTTGTCATGAGATGCTATAGAGAGATGCTATAAAACATTCTAAGATAGTCAGCCTCCTTCCAGAGCACGGAGACCCTGTAGGGCAGGCCAAAGGTCAAAGATCAGATCAGCGTGCATGCGTGCTGCAGACATTCAGACATGTTCAGCTATTTAGAAAAATGGCCGACCCTCCTGCTATTTCTCCTTCTGTGTTTAGGCATCATTTTTGGTGCTTTCCCTTTTTATATATAAAAAATACAAAACATAACAGCGAAAAGAACTCCATTGGTTTCCTCATTTTTCTCCAAACTGTTTTTTTCAGTGTGTGTGTGTTCATTTTCATTGCAACAATTGTTTTCTTCCCTTTTCTCCTCCAGTCACTTACATATTGACAAAGTATACAATATTTTACAACTGAACAAGACTGAAAGATAACATTTGATTTGTCCAGTCAGATACAAGGCCCACATCCTATATCCAATTGGAGAAGTCAACTGGAAGCTAACCAGTAGTAAGCAACACAACAAGCCTATGGTGTGAAGGGAGCTGTCCAAGTGCAGCTCTGCATTAACATGAGCACCCGCCCTCAGGCACAGCTGGTTCCGCTGGTTTGTCCAGCTTGATGTCAATCACTGGAAATTGGCACGTTAAGGAAAAGTCACATGGCGAAGTAAACTACTTGGCCTAGACATGCCACAAATGATAGTCAAAGATTCCCGTAAGCTAATGTGGACTCAGGTCCTGCATGCTACAACTACTTGTTTCTATCTCCTTCCCCTCCATAGTTGTAGTTTTTTGTCTGATCCAATGTTATGCAGCTCCATCTGAGGCCCCAAAAACTTTGCCCCATGTTTTCCCCACAATCCTCAAGACCTGTAGACAAACCAAAATATGTTGAGCTTCATAGTATAGACAAATCCATATGTTATACTACAATTTAAGGGCACTTCTTTAAAGTTAAATGTTTCTTGGTTTGTAAGTTTCCATATAATAATTCCCATTTATTGATAAGAATCCCTCACCTTCCTTACACAACCATCCTCCATCACACACCCTCCTCTGCCGTCACTTCCCTGTCAGCCACTATGTGGTGCTGTGCCTGTGCATCCACACCATCTTCCTGGCTCTGTGTGTTCCTCCTCTATTAAGCATAAAAGGTTTAATGGCTGATTCCTCGGCAGTCTATCTGTACGTGTGCCAGCAGCCACTAAGAGATTAAAAATAAGCTGCCTATTGCTGGGCTGTTTGGCTATCGGCATGGTGAGTCACAGCGGCTGTAAAGGATACTGCCTTCAGGATTTGCATCGTCCAGGCTTTCCATTCCAGGTAGGGCTGCTGCAACTCGACGAAACAGCTAGGAGGAGAACAAGAGGGAGGAGGTTAAAGAGCAGGAGGCAGCGGGCACGAAAAAATTGTAAAACTTAAAAATGGGGAGGGGGGAGGGAGGGGGAGTGCATTACAAGATGTGTGAAAAATTATTTTTGGGAAGATGGGAGCTTTTTTTGTATCATGTTACCCCTTGACTAATACTAGCCTTGATGTTTACTCAATGTCTATGCTGAAGGTGATGAAGGAAGTATTGAATAAAAGTAGCAATGCAACACAAAAAATGTCCACTATAGCGCTTGTTGAAGCTGGCCTGATTTGAAGATTTACTTTAAAATTTTGAATTTCTAAAATATAACTACAGCAGTAAGATCAATCTATTGAAGTAAAAAGTTTGATATTTTCCAAAATTGTACTGGATGTTAAGTGGTATAGCTAGTAACATTAAATGTTAGTGCCTTCGATGTGTGCTTCAGTGCAGTAGTTGAGTAAATGTACTAGATAGATATCGGTAAACTAGCTTTTGTTTTTTCTTTTCATTCATCTTTAGCCAGCAAGAACTAAATACGGAATGCACATTTTAGCAACATTGTCCATATTTAAACATTTGATTTATCTGTGTGGTGGCGTGCTCACCTTGGAGGGATTTGGGGATTGGCAGAGACTCTGAAATCAAGTGATGGCAAAAATGCTGTGAAATCTGGTAAAACTGCAGGGATCACCTGTTTGACATTGCAGCCTGTCTTGGCACTGGTCTCGATGAACATGACGTTCAGTTCTTTGGCTCTCTGCTCTCCTTCCTCGATCGTGATTTGCCTGCAGGAAAATCAAGCCAGACTCAGCATCTCGGGCTAATTTATTCGGCATTGACGTGTTGCTTCAAACAGCTTTTTTGCTCATTTAATGAACAAAACCTCCATGTCGAAGACTGTAGCTAAATGTTAGAGATGATTACAAGCCACCACCTTTACCTTTTCTCTTCCAGGTCTGTCTTGTTGCCTACTAGCATGATGATGACATCACTTCCTCTCTCTGTCCTGACATCGTCAATCCATTTGCAGGTCTGCTGGAATGAATTTACATCTGTGGAGCCCAGAGTTTCTTATTACATACAGCTTTTTTGTCTCAAAAACCCAACAGAAAACTATATGTTTTTACTCAAGTGTTTGTCTGTTTAACACAGAAACATACAAATGTATCATGTATATCATACACAGGCTACAGCTTTCGGCTTACTTGTAATGTCATAGACAACCACAGCCACCGTCGAGTCTCGTATGTAGCTCGGAATGAGGCTCCTGAAACGCTCTTGTCCAGCTGTGTCCCACAGCTGCAGCCTTACCTGCATGTGTACACACACACACAGACACACACGCGCCTTCAGCATAAACTGCCACACCACACATAGCCTATAAGTACACTTCCAGGAGGATAAGCCAGTATCAGCTCCTGTGCAGGCTGGCAGAGCACAATAATATCCTGACAAAGAAAAAGTATTAATACTGGCTAAAGCAGATGATCCATGGGTAAGGCTTTGAGTTATTAGGGCCAGAAAAGTCAGCTCACCAAAGCTGTTACTACCAGAAATAACCATAACATAATCACATTAGTGTGTGACGGAAGGGAATAATTAAGCAAATCAAATCAAGGATTAGTCAAAGCAGAGAAGAAATTGGGCTGTTTCCTACTTAAAACCTCAAGTCATCTGCGCATGTATTTAGAAATGAGAATTTTAAAAATGAAGATCAAGGTTTCCTACTGTCCGGTCCTCCAGGTACATTGTCTTCGATAGGAAGTCAATTCCAATGGTCGCCTGTGGAGAGGAAAGAGCAAAAGAGGGGGAGAAAATCATCAGCAAAAACCCAGACATTAAAATGTAAATGTTTCTCTGCACCATCTGTTGTCTCTAGCGGAGTGATTTTTGTTCAAATACATAAAGCTGTTAAGAAAGGGGAAAAAAGGGAGCCAACAAGCACAGAAATTGAATCTGACTGAAACACTAATTTAATTTGTGCTGCCCTCAGGGCCCAATCCTTCTGACTTGTTATGTACCAAACTTCTGAGAAAGGCGAAGGAGGAATGATATATTTTCTCTTCTTAAAGAAACTAATAGTGCTGCAATGCTGTTCCTAATCATGTTTGAATAAATGGCATGATTCAGATCAGGACATAATTTGTGAAAATCTAATATACTGAGTTTTTTTGACCAAAAAGCACTCGCTGCAATAACGGTCCCATATTAACCTTCAACCTCCAAAAGAAAAATTGAATTTCTTTTACAATTATAAGCAATACCACCAATACCTCTTTCGTATAGATGCTAATCAGCAACGCCATCAATCAATGCTGCTGAATAATTTAAATTGTTTTTAGGTTCTGGATCTGTTCCAGATCTCACCTGATATGTGTTGTCGAAGCTGTCATACATGAATCTAGTGATGAGAGACGTTTTCCCCACTAAAACAGAGCACACACAGGTTGGTTTCAGGGTCCGGAAACATCGATATATGATCTCAATCAACATAATGAAAATATGCTTCATTGATGTGACAACACCACAGTTATATATGAATATTTAACCAGTGCCAGTTATCAAGCCAGTAAAAATGAAAAGAAATTAAGGAGGGGGGGAGAAAAAATCCATGACTCACTGGAACAAAATCTGCCCGGTAATTCACCAAAAATATGCCTGAGTTAATATGTGAGTATGAATCAATGAATAGCTCAAAATAAGGGCAGCAAAATGGATTTCAGTTCAAAGTAAGAAACATCTGCTATCTTAGATTTCCTGTTATCAAATGTGTAAATGTTCCTCTTCACAGAAACATGTACGCCTCTAAACAATGCAAACATCTAAAGTGAAATTCAAATGTTATTCCACTTCAAGGTTTCAGATAAGAACCAAAATCTCAAAGTCATGTTGCGATGTTGTTTTTTTTTAAATGTCTGTATGTTTTGTGCTAATCGTTTATGTGTTTTCCCATTTAGTCATGATTTATGTGTGTATTTTCTTCGCCTTCTCTTTCTCCTTTGCAT